AGGTCCTTATCTGTTTGTTCTGCTTGGCTTTCAGCCACCAAGGTTTTGGTATCTTGCTAAGTAAAGTATATTCCAGTTAAGCTTGTTTCGGCATTTGTTACTGGACGGAGGAGGGGGTCAGAACAGATTAGTATATTAAATTATTAGATAGCAATAGCACTTAGACTTATATACCCTCTTTACAGTGCTTTTACAGCCCTCTCTAAGTAGTTTACAGAGTCAGCCTATTGCCCCCAACAATCTGGGTCCTCACTTTACCCACCTCAGAAGGATGGAAGGCTGAGTCAACCTTGAGCCTGGTGGGATTTGAATTGCCAAATTGCAAGTGACCGGCAATCAGCGGAAGTAGCCTGCAGTACTGCACTCTAACCACTGTGCTACGAGGCTCATTAGTTAGAGTTTTTCATTAGAAAATCAACCAAATAAGGTATAATTCCATAAGTTATAACTACCAACTCAGACAAACGGTAAGCAACAGCCTCATCAAGGAACTATCAAGAACACTCCAACCAACACTGACAATGCAAGCCACTGGTATATAAACAGAGACCAAACCCCACTCTCTTCTCACACTATGTTATTTAGTTGGGTAATGAAACATCTATAATCTATAACATCCAGGCAATCTTAGAGAGTACCAAGGACCCCACAGTTCAACCCTGAACTACAAATATTGTCTTGTATCAGTCCCACTAGTTATTTCAATACATATTTTGTGTTTTCCAATCCATTCTCATTTAGTGGGCCACTGACTTCAGTGGACAAAAATCAGTGGAGCAAAGATTTAAATTGGTACCAGATGCAATGAAAAGCAAATGAAAGGATGATTCAAACAGGTACCTGCCCTGCCCCCTGCAGCTGACTGTTAGACTGTTTGGTCTAACAAATCCATCTCAAAAGATTTTTGTTCTTCTTCCAAGGAGCCTGGTAATATTCAGAGCCTTTTTCTATAGCTTTAATTTGTATATTTGAGTCCAGATAGGAGTGGAAAGATTCCTGTCAGATAAACATCCAAGATCTCCCAAGGTTTCTGCATGAAAAAATGAGAAGAGACAACTAAATTATTGTAAGCCGCCCTGAGTCCCCTCAGGGAAAAGGGCGGCCTATAAATGTTTAATAAAAATAAAAAAATAAAAAAATAAATCCTCATCTCTTTGTAAAGTTGGGGGGCTTGGGATCTTCCAATCTTTTGCTGTAATTTTTAGGGGTTGCAAATGAAGAAAGGTATCTGCAAATATAACTTCTAATTTCCTTGTTGATCAGTAAGGCAGCCTAGGTAAAGGATTCTATCAGAAGTATTACATCCAAGCAAATATGTCAAAAACAAATAATATAAGACCATATTTTTAGCATAAAATGTTTTCAAGAATAATCCCTATCATTGTCACACCTGTCTCCCTTACCTGGAAACTGTTCCTTCCGTTCTCAAAAGTATTATTATCAAATGCAGTAAAATTATTTAAATATTTAACTTTTTATTATTGGCAGAAGATGGATTTTCTGTTGTAGCTTACTTATGTGATTTTCATCTCACATAGAAGACTCTTTTATAAACAGACAATACTGACTTTATATATCAACATTTCTTAACTGAAAACACATATGTTGAAATGTCGATGAAAATATCTCATTAGCCTTTTATCAAAAGTATCAGTCCATTTCAGTCAGATTACTATCAATATCAGAATATTGCTGTTTCTACCCCAGATGTATTATATATTTTATGTCAGATATATGAATATTAACTCAATTACCGTATCTCGAGTTAGAAAAAGAGCATATATCAGTTTAACATTAAAAGATATTTTCTGAAAATATACCACTTATAAAACATTCATCTATTCATTGAACAGAACGCAACTGATACACAATTCAATTAAATGTTTAATTGGTTGCATAGTTCATTAAAAATACAGTAGGTGATAATAGGAATAGGAATAGCCATAGGGATTTTTCTTAAATGGTATAATAGATTAAGCATCAAACACCCATATAAATACTCAGTTGATTAAAGAAGGAATTGTATTAGAAGCCCATAGTGCATTAAAGAGCTTTAATTGACCTAGTCCTACTTCATTACAGGCAAGAATAATGATTCATGAAAGGTTGTTAAAAAGTATTAACAGAGAGGACAATCCAGATTAACTTATATTTCTCTGATCATTGAAATATCTTGGTGCTTTAGATCCTCAGTAGAATTAAAAATAAGAGACTTTAAAAGCAATTACAAGCCCATTTAAAAAGATCTGCAAAGGGTAGAAGCCTCAGTTCAAAGGAGAATATTTTCCAGAGACCAGGGATGGTTACAGAGAAAGTTTGACCCTGAATTTCCACAAGATGAGCCTCTGGCAATTATAGGAGAACTTTCTCAGATAATCGCTTTCAGCCATTTAAGATCCTCGTTCATACAACCGTGCAAAGCCCAGCACTTCACCTTTTAAATATAATGTAGAGGAGCCAAGGTGGCGCAGTGGTTAAATGCAGCACTGCAGGCTACTGCTAGATCAGCAGGTCAGCGGTTCAAATCTCACCGGCTCAGGGTTGACTCAGCCTTCCATCCTTCCGAGGTGGGTAAAATGAGGACCCAGATTGTGGGGGCAATATGATGACTCTCTGTAAACCGCTTAGAGAGGCCTGAAAGGCCTATGAAGCGGTATATAAGTCTACTGCTATTGCTATTGCTATATCATTGTGTAACAAGTCACAGTAGCACTCAGCACAAATCTTTGGTCTTTTGAAACATCCTTCACATCAGCTTAAACCAGGGTTCCTCAAACTACGGCCCGGGGGCCAGATACAGTCCATCAAAGCCATTAATCCGGTCTGTGGGGGACCATAAGGCTGCCCCACCCCCATCGCCCCACCTATTCATTGGCCCCTCTCCACTTTCTGGAGGCCGAGGAGGCCAAAAACAAGATGCAGGGAGGCCTCAGGAAGCCAAACATTGGCTGGTTTTGGCCTCCCTAGCCTCCAGAGGGAGAGGGGGGGGCAGCCCCCCCCAGGCAGCCACATCCCGTCATTAACCTGCTTTCCATCCCCAGGAGCATAACAAATTAAAGTTTAATTTGTGCCATTGTTTAATGGACTGCTACATTGGCCATGACCACCTGGTCACATGGCCACCTCCCACCCAGTCACATGACCACCTAGCCACCCCCACCCAGTTATATGACCACCTAGCCAAGCCCACCCAGTGACACCTAGTTACACCCACCCAGGCAGTCCGCCTTGCCCCCCCAAGAATCTGAGGGACCGTCAATTGGTTGAGGACCCCTGGCTTCAGTGATTGAAGATTTTAGAGTAAACCTTATACTCCGTATATTTTACATTCCTCTTAGACAGCTGATAAAAAATTTGGAGAAAGCCTCAAGAGTTTTTAGTTTCACAAAGTAAAGTTTACACAGTAGCATCTCTCCCCTTTGAAAGTGCTGCTTTCTCTGTCTCTTAATCCTCCGCCTGCAAGAGAGATCCATATTAGTTGAGAATGTTCACCGTTCAGTGAAGTAGGAGAAGAATTCCTGTTCATTTATTGAGACATTACAGAACAAGTCACTTACCACATGCTGGGTAAGGTCTGAGACTATGCGTTATCAGAAGCTATAATTTATACAGGAAGGATATCATAGTTTCTTGGAACAGAGGTTTTTTTTACTCAGTCTGGAAAATTTGCTTCCTAAAAATACACAATGAAAGGAATTCTCAGAATGACTTTATTTCTATACGTCGCTAATGCAGCAGCTAGTTTTAGAAACACCCTGGCTTTTTGCAGGTTGGTTGATTTTTCCTCTTCATCACAACCTCTTATTGTTTTGTCCTTCCCTTATATCCCTTTTTCCCAATTTGGCGGTTCGAATCCCACCAGGTTCAAGGTTGACTCAGCCTTCCATCCTTCCGAGATGAGCAAAATGAGAATTCAGATTGTTGGGGTCAATAGGCTGACTCTGTAAACCACATAGAGAGGGCTGGAAAGCACTGTGAAGCAGTATATAAATCTAAATGTTATTGCTATATGCCCTTCTTTGGACAATTTCTTCAGTGGCTCAGCCTCCTCACCATGCTGAATCTTTTACCTGACTTTGCCTTATTCACAAATGGATCCAGATGCTCCTCATATTTATAATGATTGCCAGATGTTGCTTAGATACTTAATCTACTATATCCTTGGGAATTTATCTGGCTACAAGCTCCCAGCGCCTGCCTCTGCCCCTGGGATTAGCTTGCTCTGAGCTGGGAAGCTACTTAGTACGGGGAAAAGTTTGAACAGAAAATTGAGTGACGGAGAGCTTAGAGAAAGGAAGCCTGTTCTGTTCCTCCCTTGTTGTCTTAAAAGAATGACTGAACCTCTCATTCCCAGGGTGGCCCAGGCTTATGTGAACCAAAGGAAGCTGGACCACGAGGTGAAGACACTGCAGATCCAAGCTGCTCAGTTTGCCAAGCAAACAGGCCAGTGGATCAGCATGGTAGAAAACTTCAATCAAGCTCTGAAGGTGAGCACAGTTGCCTGTATGAATGGCAGTGGTTCATATATTGTGCATATATTGTATTAAGATCAGCCTTAAAGGGCTGGGCTGGGCGAGTGGGAATAGGGGGCATCACAGGTGGGTTCAGCATATACAGAGCCATCAGTTCCCAGATACAAAAGAAGAGGCAATTCCAGAAGGGGAAAGAAATAACAAACATCTCAGGTCTCCCCTCTGGCCCATCATTTATAACTTTTTAAATATCAATTATATGCTATGATTTCTATTTCAAAAATTCTAATGCAAGCATGCCCATTTGAAAAATGCACCTTTGACCCTTGTGTGCTCTCTGGTTCTACTATGGCACACTGGGCAGGGATCAGCAACCTGGGACATCAGAGAAGAGTGAGTATAGTTACACTTTTATTTAAAGCTTATTGTCAGCAACTCACTACTCCAAAAGAATGTTCACTTGATCTCAAACATATTTTGTTGTTTTGTCACTCTGTGATTAATCCTGAGTGTAATGGGAGAGCGCCATCTACTGGTCATAGACAGATGGATGATATAGATATGGATGGATGGGTGGGTGGGTGGGTGGGTGGGTGGATGGATGGATGGATGAATGGATAGATGGACGGACGGACAGAGTCTAGTAGACAAAGAAATGAAAGACTTTGAACCTTGTATGTGTATTTAGCGAAAGAGATGAGGGCTAACAAAGGTCTTCTGTTAAAATGGTAAATTGTTTTCTGTACATTATCCTCAAATTCATCTAAAATTATTTCAGTGTCAGAGCAGAAGGATGCTCTAGAAAATTAGGTCCAGGCATGTATGGATTTGAGAAGCCAAAGAACGGGTTTAATCTTGACTTATCTCTCTGGCCAGGAAATTGGTGATGTGGAGAACTGGGCACGGAGTATCGAGATGGACATGCGGACCATTGCCACCGCTCTGGAATATGTTTACAAAGGGCAGCTGCAGCCTTCCACTTCCTGATCCAGATGCCAGATTCTATTGGTCACCAGAATTGCATCTCTCATGCTATGTTGCCAACTGAAGGCATGTCATGGCAGAGTCCTTGCCTGCAACCTCTTCCTCTAGTTCAGTGACTATTCTTCTGCAGCACTGAATAAGCTTTCCCCCTCCTTCCCCGGCCCATTTAGATGGCATAAGAGGCGCCATTGGGTCTTTTGCTTTGGCTGAGTATCCATGGGCAGCTGGGAGGAACCATGAAACACTGGCATGGAAGTGCCCATACCCACACGGACAGGAAAAGAAGCCATGCTTTTTCCATGCAAGCTGGATCAGTCTGTGCTATGAAGTTAGAAAGAATGAAATAAAAGCAGGTGGCTTAATTACATTACAAGTGTCGGTTTGAGTCATTGCAGGGGGGGCGGATGTTGGTTCTATCAGCTGTGTAACCCCATCTTGGCAAATGGTGAAGGAGGACAGAAAGCTGCCTTCTCTTCCTCAGACAGAGGGATGGGTTGGAGATGGGGAACTTCTGTGTGGCTGGAGCTTTTTCTCATAAGGTCACCCAGCCTGGCCTCTTCATCCTCTTTTAGTTTTCAAATCCTTCCCCCATGTTTTTCAAGCCTTTATACAAAGGAACCTTTCTCAGATTTAATTTGTCCTAATCTCTCCTTAATTCGGCATGTGCTACATGCTTGGGTAAGAGGGGTGTGACATGGAATGCCAAAAGTGTTCAATTTCTATTTCTAGAGTGTTGCCTCTCCCTTCACTAGCTTTATGGTAGAAGAGGCTGGATATTTTAATATGGTCCGGGAAAATCTCCTCCTATTAAGAAAACTCCCCATATTCCCTGGTTCCACAGATGGGTTGCCTTTAGTATGTGCAGTTCTACCTGGTTCCACCACAAAACCGCGGTAGACTAAAGCGCGCTCGACGAAAGCGTGTACATGACGTCATCACAGCGTGACGAAAACAGCATGCTGTGAGCGGTAAATTTAAACCTAACCCTAAACCTAACCCTAAACCTAACCCTTAACCTAACGCTAACCCTTAACCTAACCCTAAACCTAACCCTTAACCTAACGCTAAACCTAACGCTAACCCTTAACCTAACCCTAAACCTAACCCTAACGCTTAACGTAACCCTAAACCTAACCCTAACCCTTAACCTAACCCTAAACCTAAACCTAAACCTAACCCTTACCTTTATGTGAATCGGCTTGCTTTATTTTTATTTTTATTTAATTTATTTTTAATTTTATTTGTCGCGCTGCTGATGACGTCACGTACGCGCTTTAATCGGGCGTGCTTTAGTGGACCGTGGTTTTGACGGGTCACGGTTCTACCTCTGGCTTGAGTGGGCTTCAGCTAGCAAATATTCTGCTTCTCTTTTCCTGATCTCATGTGCCTTCCATCTGCTTTTGTAGTTGCAAACGTTGGGCAACTTTTGAGTCAATAATAATTCTTTATTAAATATATTTTCTGCCCATCACAATCGTGACAATACAGTACTTTTTGTTGTATTTCTTTATTCCCCAAGTTTTTTATTTTATTTTTATTTTTTACAAATAAATCAACGCATAAACAGTGTGGTATCTGGATGTCATACATTATAATACAAGTAAAATTGATAAAGTTAATCATAATTATTACATTCAATCAACTTACCGTATTTTTTGGAGTACAAGACATACCTTGTTCCCTCAAAAAAGAGGCTGAAAACCGGGGTGTGTCTTATACACTGAATACAGCATTTTTTGCCTCCTGAAGCCCCGCCCCCTTCACCGAAATGGCTGTGCATAGCCTCTAGGAAGCTTTTAGAGAGCTCCTGGGGGCTGGGGAGGGCTCAATTTTGCCCCCACCCAGCCCCCAAGAGTGCTTGCATGCCCCCTTTTTTTTTTTTGACAAAAAACGGGCTGTTTTTTGCTTGTTGTTTGGGGGGGGGAGGACTCTACAAGCCTCCTAAAGGCTATTTATGCACTTTTTTTTCCCGTGAAGAACGAGCCGTTTTTGGGAGGTTTGCAGAGTGCAAAAACTTTTTTAAAATTTGCCTCTTCAAAACCTTCAGTGCGTCTTATACTCCGGTGTGTCTTATACTCCAAAAAATACGATACATTTTCCTAATAGTAATGCACACTTATATTAGGTTGCAATCTATTGTTCAATTATTCCATGTTTTGTCTTGTTATTACTTTTATTTTATCATAAAAATTATTATATACAAAACTTATACACTAATATTCCCCCTTCTCTTATTTCTATCGTATTCTAGCTTTAATCCTTTATTAAAAGGCTTTTTCTTTCTATTCTATCTAATTTCTAATCATGTCACCCACTTACAAAAAGAAAAGAGAGAGAGAAAAAGAAAAACAAATCAGAGCAACAGCAAAAAAGAGAAATCATCTTTGCCCGTTTCAGTACTTTAAGTGCTATGTTTTAAAAGGAAAGAGAGAGAAAAGGAAAAGCAAATCACCACCACAACAACAACAATTATCTATCCATCATCTTTTGCCCATTTCAGTACTTTAATTGTTGCATTTCTTACAACAGCACTGAGACTCCCTAACTTAGGACAGAATTTGTCTGTAAAAATTTAAACCATTTATTTTCCTTTCTTCCTTATCTGTATCTTTTGGCTTAACTGGGCCTTTGGTTACATCATTGGTCTTTCTAATGAACACAAGATTACCAAATCAAGATACCTGTATATGGAATTCCGTATTTGCTTCATTTGGAGATCAGAAAACCACACATTTTGAATGCTTTTGCGCGTCTGAATGTAAATGGCTTTCTAACCAGACTGTACAGGTAGTCCTCAACTTATGACCACAACTGAGCCCAAGATCTCTATTGTTAGGTGAGTTTTGCCCCATTTTACGTCTTGCCAGAATTGTTAAGTGAATCCCCGCAGTTGCTAAGTTAGTATCAGATTCATTGTTAAATGAATGGCTTCCCCATTGACTTTGTCAGAAGGTCAAAAAGGTGATCCTATGAACTCGGAACACTGCAACCATTATAAATATGAATCAGTTGCCAAGCATCCGAATTTTGATCAGATGACCATGAGGATGCTGCGGCAGATATAAGTGGGAAAAACGGTCATAAGTCTCCTTTTTTCAGTGCCTTTGCAACTTTGAATGGTCACTAAATGAACTGTTGTAAGTCAAAGACTATCTCCATTGCTCGTTCTTAAAGAAGCAGTGGAAAATGGATTCTTGGTTTCTACCGCAAAGATGAGGTAGAAATCCTTTTCGATTATAGGTTCACATTTGATTTCGACTGCTGGGCTTAACTCCCAATATGCCTTCTCTTAACTTTGTTTGTTTGTGTCCTGCCTGATGATTTTTGCAAATAACTCGAGGCGGTGAACATATTTAACACACCTTCCTTCTTTTATTATCCTCACAACAAGAAGCCTACGAGGAGTTGGGCTGAGAGAGAGAGAGAGAGTGACTCATCAAAGCTCACCCAGCCAGCTTTCATGGCTGAATCAAGACTAGAACTCACCATCTCCTGCTTTCTGGCCTGGGGCCATAACCACTAGGCCAATGGTTCCCAAACTTGGCAACTTTAAGACTTGTGGACTTCAACTCCCAGAATTCTCCAGCCAGCTGGCTGCAGAATTCTGGGAGTTGAAGTCCACAAGTCTTAAAGTTGCCAAGTTTGGGAACACTGCACTAGGCCAAACTAGTCATAAATTAATTGTAAATGAGCCCTGAGGGCAGAAAATTAATTAGGATTTCCCCGAGGCTATTTATTCTCATTTCCTTCTGTATTCCTTAATTCATTGAGGGATAGGTGGAAAACAGTTGGAACATATGGAGGCATCTAAACTGTGGGGACTCCCACGGCCTCCCTTTTTTTCTAGCTGGAGAGTGGCAAGGGATGGATTGTGTTCATTTTTGTTTAGATCATAGTTGCAAGCAAGAAACCTATGGTGATTTTTTTTTTAAAAAAAAGCACTTATGCCCACATCCCAGCTAGAAAGACTCCCAGTGCAGCTTCTAAATCAATAAAAAGTCCCTAATGTTATATTTACAATCTTTTAAAAAACAAACATGGCAGTTAAACCAAAAAAGAATGTTCAAGGCGGGAAAAGACATACTTGGAAACCAATTCTTCATGTACAGGGAACTTTATCGCTTGTTCAGCTCTATCTCAGGAAAAGGTGGCTGAACGATTGTTGAGGAGGAGACAAATCCAGTTTTTGTCCTCCCCAGCCCCCAGGAGCACTCTGCAGGACGCCCAAACCTTCTGGGTACCCTGATTTTGCAAAAAAAAAAAATTGGGCCTGTTTTCACAAAAATGGAATCTGTGGGGCGGGGTTTCGGGAGGCCAAAAATGGCCGTATTTGGTGTATAAGACGCACTGACATTTCTACCCTCTTTAGTCGGGGGAAATTGTATCTTATACTACTTTTTCTTGCATAGCACCGTATACATTTGCAAAAAAGGGACACCTTAGTCTCCATTTTGTTAGGCTATTTTACCAACAAGGGGCTTTCACACATGGAAAATTCATGGCCACTTTCTTTACTTACCTAAAGCTCAGCAGCTGAGACCTCTTATTTAAAGACTACTAATGAGTTGAACTAAGCAACAAAGGGCTTTTTCACTTCTAAGCTCTCTCTCTCTCTCTCTTCTGTTCTCTTCTGCAAAAGCATAAAACCCTTCGTAGGTTTTTGTAAGAAGCCTGGATTTCATTTCTCTTTACTTCTCATCCTTGACATTATCAACAATGAGTGGGACTCTATAAATGTACTACAGCCAATCCTTGACTTACAACCACAATACTGCTCAAAATTTTCATTGCTAAGCAAGGCAGTTGTTAACTGAGTTTTGCCCCGCTTTACAACCTTTGCTACCACAGTTGTTAAGTAAATCTGGTTTCTCCATTGACTTTGCTTGTCAGAAGGTCTCAAAAGATGATTACATGACCCGGGGACATGGCAACCATCATAAATATGAGTCAGTTGCCAAGTGTTCAAAATTTGATCACGTGACCATAGGGATACTGCAACAGTCGTAAGTGTGAAAAACAATCATCAAAGCACTATTTTTTTCAGTGCCGTTGTAACTTTGAACGGTGACAAAACAAATGGTTGCATATCAACAGCTACCTGTATATAGGTTGGAATACTGATTCTTAAGTGATGCTATACAGCTCCACAAGGAGTAAGTTACTGATATATCAATACTGGAGTATTCAAGAGAGTACAGAAACCTTCTCCCCTCTTGCAATGGCTTCTTGCAGCCAGCAGAGGAGAATTGGTGTATTCTGTATGAGCCGTGGTAGTGCAGTGGTTAGAGTGCAGTACTGCAGGCTGCGTCCGCTGACTGCCGGCCACCTGCAATTTGGCAGATCGAATCTGACCAGGCTCAAGATTGA